TCTTTGGGAAGGATTCGCAGACTTTGGACATATTTTGTATTAAAAACATATATGCTTTTAGAACAATTTATTAATTGCTTATAACTCTGATTATATGGGGCATTCTTTCTGCGATTTCCCCCTCTTTTTTGAAGATATTTTTATTTTTCCGTGGCTCACATTCAGGTATTTTTTTTTTACTCATTTTTATACTATTTTGCAACTGTGTCTAAGATGTTTATTTCAAAGCAATGACCTCATGCTTTGAAACATGCATTTTGACTTTAAACATGCTGCAGGGTTATATTAACAAATCAAGCTCTCTAAGTCAAACCATATATATTTTTTAAAGCATTACATAATATTTTAAAAATAATTTATCTTTAAATGAATTGAATCTACCATTATCAAATAATCGATTAAACCCTTAACTAGTTTGACGGTACATCGTATGGGATATCAAAAACTAGCCACGAACGGTTTGCCCGTACGCTGTACGTGGGTATTGATATTTTCTTTTTTCTATCTTTTATCTGCACATATTTTTAATTCTTATAGTGAGATTATTAGTGCTAGTGTGTGTGTGTGTGTTTTTAAGAGCGGCAGTTTGTCCAGGGTTTCAGAAATACTTCTCACCCGGGATTTCCTTTATGGTGAAGACGGGAATTTGTCATTGAGGGCAGAGATTTAGATTCTTGAAAATATTCGAAAAAGAACAGAGATTGCCAAGACAATGTGGAATTTGTTGCTTGAAAAAAATGGAAATGGAAGGATAATCCAAAAAACCCGTATTATCTTAGCCCCTCTATTTCAATGTAAGACTTAGTGTTACACTATGCTTCAAATTGTGTGTGCATATATATATATATATGCGAACACACGCAATATCCTCAACCATTTGAAAAAGAGGCATGAACATGAATTGTTTTTGTGAGTTTGAGAGAAATTCTGTAAAGATATATGAAACATTCTTCATATATAGCATGCAGAGTGTACTTATAAAAAGCAAACATTTAGGGGTTTTTGTTTTCCACAATTATAAAATAAAAAAATGGGAAAACTTTAAAATTGAAAAAAATAAAATAAGCAAAATTTTTCCATTTTTGCATTTTGTTATATATACACACACATACTAATATTCCCCTTTCTGTCGCCCGAGTAAATAGTTTTGCTGTACTCACGTGGTAAGTCTTTATATAATTGTTTTAGTTCGTTTTACATATTTTAGTAATTATTATAGGCTATAATATCATCATTTTACATTAATAGATTATGGTTTTATTTGTAATAATAGTTAAATCTCTCTAGAAATTTCTTACTTTCTCTATAGCCCAGATTATTGGCAAATACAGGTGAAGGTTGGCTAGCCGCAAAACATTGTTTAAACCTACAATCCTGGTTCCTAAGGCCGGGAGTTTTCTTTAGTACTACTGTGGCTAAGACTTTATTCTATCCTGACTATAGTTATCTTAGGTTTATAACTATTTTGTGTATATTTTTTAAATGATATATATATATATATATATATTTATTTATATGTAATTTAAAATGTGCCTTTTTTGGAACATTTTGGGGTAAAAAAGAAGAAATTTACGCTTAGGAGGTTAAATTTTGTTTTGCAGTTTGTTAATAACACTAGTAATCACTAACACGCTTTAGGTATTCATTATTGTATTGTCATTATCCAGAGTAACTTCATTTCGACGGGTACACAAATTTATCCTTAAAAAAATGTGTATTCCACATTTTTTGTCTATATTAAAAAAAAAAACTTACAAAAATAGATCAAGAATAATTAACAGCATTTTCTATAAAAATCTACATATTCCTCTCACGACTAAAACCTTCTCTTTAGTATAAAATAACGAATTGCCTCGTCCTCAAGGACTCCTAACTCCCAAAAATCAATAAATATATGCATATGATGAAAAGAATAAGAGAAAGAATGCCTCGTAACAAAAGAACACATTAATCGCAGTTTTATTATTTTCCCTTTGATCTCTCAACCCAACTCACAAATACGGAGCCTCGGGACACACACAGCACAATTTTGTACCCGAAAACACCAATTGAATTAAGGCGACCCGTACGCCTTAATTTTTTTGTTCTTGTTCTTTTCCCTCCTCCTCTCTCTCTTCCCCATTGTTGCCTCCGACCCGGCTCGCTCGGAGTCCCAACCCATGTCCTTTTCCTCGCTGTCTCCGCCCCTGCTTCCTTTTAATGTGCATCAACAAAAGCCGCATAATTTGCCGCTGCATACTAACTCGCGTCAGGGCCTGGGGCGCCACTGCGAGGGGCGACCGCACGCGCCAACTTGGAATAATTAAATCGGGTCTTCAAAAGAGCGTCAGGTGCGTAAAATTTTCCGCACCTCTTTTATTGTCTCGCTCATTAGGGCTATAAGCCTCGCTGTTACTCTTGTCCCTTAATGTCGTCAAAATGCGGAAATTTCGCTTTGATCTAGCCCGCTGTGGAGGTTGCCGCCAATTACGCCATTTTTGAAGAAGCCTTGGTCTCTCGATTTTTTGTATTTCTTTCCTTCTTTTTCGTAGATTTCCTTCTCCTGATCCTTTTTTTCTTTTTGTTTTTTTATTTCTCATCCCTCGTGACTTTTGTTTGCTCTGGTTTCCTTGTTTAATATCATTTCTGGAATGCTTCGGGCAAATGTGAAAAGTCTTTCTTTTTCGATTGGAATGCAATTTTTTTCTCTGTTGATGTTGGAAGTAGTATGGATTTTCTCGACTCATTTTAACAATCATTTTTCTTGTTTGTTTACTTTTAAGAAGATGGGGTTTATTTCTATTCAGAGAATGAAGACTGATAATTGGTTCCATTTTTACTTTTGTGTGCAGTATGCATATTATTTGTATTTGTTTATTTTCGCTGTACAATACCATTTTTCATAATCTTTTAATTTATTCTTAAAATATGCCTGCTAAAAGAAAAACTATATTTATTTTTGACCCAATTCTTATTTTATTGCCAATCTGTTCAGTGTTAGGTTGAAGAAATATGAGACATGCTTAAGGCTTTTAAACAATTTTGTATAACGAGGAAAATAATATAAATACTGGTGCGTATTATATATATAACTGGATTTTTCACCTTTACAATCAGTTATAATTATCTGTAGATATGGCAACCAAGTTTGATTTAATTAAGTCCTGCCTTTAATTGCTCAGATAGACAAATAATGAATATATTGGAGGTCCTTTAGTACATTTGCTGAATTATCCCCCACATTACGCAAAACAAACATAAAAAGCCTTCAAGAGAGGGAATGAGTTTTTATTGACGTATATGCGACCATGTCAACGGTAGGACTTTGAGCTTCATCAGATTTAAAGAGCATCATTCCCTCTGCACGGAACAAGCTATCGAAGAAGGTACAAAGGGTAGACTCGAATGCATGAGATGTTTTCCTCATTGAAATTCTAAATGCAGTCGACTCTCGATAATTCCAACCTTCGATAATACGAACCTCTCGATAATTCGAAGTATATGCTCAGTCATTTAGAAAAACTCTTGATAGTTCGAACTAAACAATCTTTGTTGGTACACTCAGTATTCGAAGTAAAATCAGTCGCTGGCCAGACTACAACACGCGGTAATTCGAAGTTATCTTACAAAACTCGACAATTCGAACACTCACTATCATGTAGAGACCTGTAGCAAACAGGTTGGAGCTTACATGTTTTGTGTTGTATTGTCTCTACCTGTAACGTAGTCCCTCTAATGACCATCGGAATTGACTCCAATAACAATGACAGAAGCTAAAGTGTCGCGAAACAAACTACGTAACTTTTCTCTTCAAAATCATGTTGATGCGAACGTTTCTCAAGCTACATTTATTCTTGAAAAATCTATCGACAGAGTTAGATTGTGTGAATGCCATAGAACAAAAAAGATAACAGATCTTTTTGTCAACAAAAAATAACTATGTATAGTGTGTATTGTTTTAATAGTTGTTTTTAATACATAAATGTATTTTTAATACAGGACTTATAACTTCTCTGTCTATTATTTATACTTTATAATATGTACTTTTTAAAAATACTTTTAAAATAATTTTTTATGTACACAATTGTTGTTTTATTACACAGTTTCAAGTTTAAATGTGTTAGAAAAAGTTTATCTCCGTGTATTTTGGGAGTTTTTTCTTACCCTGTTGATAATTCGAAGTTTTTCATTGGTCCTTTCAAATTCGAATTATCGAGAGTCGACTGTAATATAATTTATACTTAGGACGAAAGAAAATGGAAGAAAACCTGGAAGTTTCCATATTATTAATTTAGTAATGGTATATAGTTATCTTTAATGCCCAAATTAGAATATCATTTTAGATATCACTTACTAATATGATAGATTTTATAATGTCTTTTTTAAGTCATTTCCTCCCGTTGACATATATTACCTGTTTGCATTGTCGCACACAGATTATTTTCATGGGAGGAATTACATTACATAAAAAAGTAGACGCAAGCAATAATAAGTAGTTTTTTTAAAAAAAAATTAAAAATCTGTTGATCTTCGGCATGTGTTCGTAAACATTTCGGAACGGTGACACTTTTCTTTTACAAAAATTTTGTACGACCCCATAAGCTTTGCGCAAAGTTTACGCACACTTGGGTACTTGGGTTATATGTGTTTTATTTGTAGTACATTATTGTTTACCCCTAATAAACATTTGCAATAAATTTTCACTTTGAATATAACGATAAAGAAATTTTAATTAAAACAAGTAATATAAAAAAAAAATTTTTTTAAGTAAATTCCTATTTAGAGGTCAACCAAGAAATTTTTTATTTTTGTTACTATTATTAAATAGTTATGTATAGTTAATATACATATGGCACAATCACAATATTAAATGACAAAATAGAAAGCGATTTTCCTTGCAATTTTCCTCCATTTTCCTTTCTATAAATGGCGTTAGACTATTTTTTGTTTGTTTGTTACTATTCATTCATTATAATTAAATTTAAGTATTCTAATAAAACAGTATAGTAAAAAAGAAATCACAACCCAGGTGAGATTCGAACTCACGACCTTTGAATCAAAAGTTCAACACGCTATCCATTGCGATACAGAGACACAACGAAAGAGTTTCCTTTATATATATGCAGCTGGACTATTATTCTTGTTTTTTACTATTTATTCATTTTTAAATTTATTTAATGAATTAATATTTGAAAAAACTGTATTAACATCAAGTGCTCAACTACAAATTTAAAAATATATATATTTGAGCTTGAATGGGAGTAGAAAGTATTTTATTAACGATTGAAAATTTGAACAAAATAATATATATTACACACACACACACATGTATATATATATATATATATATATATACACTCACTTCCAAAAGTTAAGCACAGAGAGGAAAATGCTAATTTCTGGAAGCCAATCAAAATTGAAGAGGATGCAATTCGCTGCAGAGTAGATGGAAGTATGCAAATTGCAAATATGTTAGGTAGCAGCCAATCGTGCTTTCATGTCAAGAAATATGCAAAAAGGGCAGTCTTATAAGAAGCCAGCTTTATGAAGGATTACAGAAGTTGATTGTAAGTGCAGATAGAAGGTTTTTAAAACTTTCGTACAATTTGTTTTCAAGACATATGTGTTTCTATGACTTTCAGAAAACGAATGGAAGATTTTGAGCGCTGGCGTGCTGTGGGGCGCATTGAAGCAGGACAGTCGATCAGAGATGTTGCTCTTTTCTTCGGCGTTCATCATTCTGTAATTTCACGTTTATGGAAACAATTCCAAACCACACAGACAGTTGTCAGAAGGCCCGTAGTTGGTTGCCCAAGGGTTACAACCCCCCGCGGAAGATCGATACATTGATATTTTAGCCAAGCGGAATCGCAGAGCGACCTCCACACGTGTGACATCTATGGTTAGAGCGTCCATTGGTAAGGCTATATTTGAAGCTACTGTACGCCGAATTTTATATATGAATGGACTGTATGCCCGGGTACCTCGAGTTTGTGTTCCTCTATCCATCCAAGCAAGAGGGGCACGATTAAAGTGGTGCTGGGAACATGGCAATTGGACTGTGTCTAACTGGGATAGTGTCATGTTTACTGATGAGTCAAGATTTTCTCTGGAGCCGTATGACAAGCGTATAAGGATATGACGTAAAGAAGGAATACGCAATCAGCCCCAAAACATCACCGAACATCACGCATTCCGAGGCTGAAGCATTATGGTGTGGGCAGGGATTTCATTAGGATACCGCACCGACCTGCACATCTTTAAACGGGGTTCTGTGACCGCTGTCCGGTATCGAGATGAAGTCCTAGAACCCATTGTGAGATTGTACGCTGCAGCAGTTGGCCCTACTTTCGTTTTAATGGACGATAACGGACGTCCGCATAGAGCTGACATCGTCGATGACTTCCTGGAGAGTGAAGGGATTGCGCGTATGGCGTGGCCAGCATATTCGCCCGAGTTTAATCCCATTGAAAATCTTTGGGATGCTCTCGGCTGTGCTGTATCTTCACGTTTCCCACCTCCAGCCACTCTTATTGAGCTGGAAACTGCTCTACAAGAAAAATGGCGATAGTTTAATTCTGCGGTGGTTGACCATCTAATTGAAAGCATGGTCAAAAGGCGTAAACTTTGCATACAGATGAGGAAGGATCACATACCCTATCAATGTCCTTTTTTTCATTTTATGCTGTTTATTTTCACTTTATACATAATTCTGTTTAAGTCTCCAGTATGACATTATCTGATAACTTACAAAAATTTAATATCGTTTTCATTTCTGTGTATAAATATTGATTTTGTTTTGCTACTTGATTATTGATACATGCTACTTTACTGCCAAATTTTGTGTCAATCAAAACACTATTTGTTGATTTTTTTGCATTTTACATCTTTGTGCTTAACTTTTGGAAGTAAGTATATATATATATATATATATATATATATATTACACTGTGTATTATATATATGTATATATATAATACAGTGAACTAATATTAGGAACTGGAAAAAAATAAAAAGCATATAATGTAATTAAATGGTAAATTATACGTAAACTGTAATCTGTTTATTAAATGTAGTCATTTTTGGATTTACTTCTGAGATAATCATCTTTTTCTAACTACGGTATATGCAAGATTTAAATATTAATAGGTAGCATGTGTTTGATTATTTTTAATTATGTTGTTAAATCTTGGAATGATAGTTGACACCACCGGACAAAGTACGCTACTTCGATAAGAAATTATAAGTAAATAACTATAAATTATCTATTGGCTTTCTCCAATAAGAATCTAAATAAACAACTGAGCTATTATTATTTTTAAAGACGAACTAGTTAATGTAAGAAAATATATCAAAAATCCTAAAATTTTGGGGGACCCCAACTGCAAGTCCCACGGCCCTTAGTTTAAGAAATATTGGCAGGGATGGAAAACTTTTTTGGGACGAGTGCCACTTTCCGATAAAAAAAATGATGCATGCCACTCCCAACTCTTCCAATGGTTTAATATAATGAAATAAGTAAGAGCAATTATTATTGAATAACAAATAACAGCAGCTAAAAATTGTTATTAAACATTTATTTCCTATTTTAAGGTACCCGACTACTTGAGACAACTTTTTAAAAAATAAAATGAATATATGGGGATTCATTTGAGGTTTTTAGATTTTTTAAGCTCATTTTCAGATGAATATGCTAAAATTAAGAAGAGAAAAAGAAATTATTATTACTAAAATGGAAAAAAATGGGTCAAAATTTATAAAAAATAGCACAAACGTTCTGTACCAGAAGTTTATTAACAAATTTTAAATGTTTCAATTCTGATATGTTGCTAGGTTATTCATTTTTGAAATGACATTTAGGATAAGTGATATTTTAATTTTTACAAAAATTAGAGCACTTTCTTAGATATTATATGAAATTGCTTGAAAAAACAGTGAGTATATTAACATAAGGGACTGGGTAAATTTTGTAATAAAGCAGTGATTAATAAATCTGTAGATTAAGACACTTCTACTATTATACAGAACATACACAAAAAATTAAGCAAATTATTTTCAAAACTTTTTTAGCAATCACCGGCCCCGTTTGAGCATTTTCCAAAAAACACAATCCGAGTAAAACGCGTTTTAAAGTATGGCATCTTGCTTAGAGTAATGGCATCTGCTTTTACTAAAACACTTGTAGTTTTTATTCTAGTTAATGGAAAATAATAAACTCGGTATTTTTATAAAGCTTATAAGATAGCCTATAAACAAAAATCATAAAAAAGTTTGTCAATTTTTGGCAAAATTCACTATATTAGGGTAGTCGGATACCTTAAATGTAGTAAAGATTTCTTAAAGCAGCTCGGGTGGCCTATTTATGTATGATTCGAATCGATTTGCATATTTTGATTTCCAAATTCCTACATGTTTAATTACTCAAACAACTTTGCCCTCGAGTTCATAAGGCACAGACTCAAAAGCAGAAACCATTTTTAAGTCCTTAAATTACAAAGCAAGAAAAACAGAGAAAAAGTTTAATCACGACAGCACTTTAAATCTCATCTTACTTTACAAAGAATAACAAACACACTAAGGTGAATGTTTAAAACTGATAAATTATCTGGCTAACTGTCAGCAATTTGTTCTTGGGATACAATAGGTTTTAGTTTGTAGATGCCTAAAATCGAAAGATCGTGACTGACAAGATTTGACCTAAATTTTTCTGGCAACACAAGGTCTTGCCACAACTTTTACCACTTTAACCTCATTCAAATACACTTTTTTGCGTGTCCACAGCGTAAACAAAGGTCGTGAGATCTGAAATCGTAGAGAGGGGGCAAGATTTCTTTTGTTGTTACCCCGTAACAATCTTTCACCAATCCGATTCGATACTAAAACTCTGTTTTGATTAAATGATGTTGTTAATAAATAATTGTTGGCGCATTGTGAAAATTTTTTTAGAGTGTTGTAGTATAGTATTCAAAACATAAACTGTTTGCTCTTGAAGATGGACTGATAAATACATAACAGTCTCCATCTATAATCATTATAGTTGAAAATGAGATGCATAGAGATTGAGAAAGAAATGAAAAGAATATTAGAACCTTCGCCAAGAATAGTTCAAAGGTCAATGGTTTGGAAAATAATACATTGTGAAAGTTCACCGACAATGAGCAAGAACTGGTCAGACTTTTACTTTTGACTTGGTGTTGAAATTCGTATAAACGTATATTATATGTCTCTGTAAATATTGTGAAATGTGTCGTGTAACAACCTTCAATTGTTTTTTAGGTTAGGTTATTACAAATTTGTGTAATTTTTTTTCTCAATTTTCAATATACACATCTTAAAAAAATGATTAGAGCATTAAAGAATGAAATGGGACAAAGAATGTATTATTTTTTAACACATTTTTAAATAAATTTTCTCTAAAAATTCTTCATTTGAATTTAATTAATTTTTATTTAAAAATATAATGTATTTTTGAAAATATTTTTTAAAGTTTAGAATTAATGCATATTCGGTATAGTTTTCATATTCAAAAAAATTTGCAGTGTTTCGTACTTTTATTGCATTCTTTTATTTTATGGTGGAAAAGAAAGCTTCTTTTTCAAAATATTGTATTTAATCGGATCTAAGACATACTTTCCCCCAAGTTAATGTTACTGAAAATCAAGTGCTACTTAGAATTGTTGCATGAGGGAAATTTTAAATGATACTCACGGTTCGAGCTATTACAAAACTTTTAAATACATACATTTTCATGTATGTATTTATAAATTTCTATAATATTGGTAAAATAAATTAATAATTCAATTTTTATTAGTTCTCATTTTAATTCTTTTTAACATTTCATACAAAGAATTTAACCATTCACAGTATAAACCATTTTACACTATAATTTTTTTTTCACAAAAACATGTTGAAAGCTTGAGGTGCGGCTTAGAATGGATGGCTGCTTAGATTCGAATAAATACTGTACATTGCGTGAAAATTCGGGACAATACTTCAAAGAAACTGTTTCTTGAATTTAATCTATGCAATAAATATAAAATTTTTACAAATTTTTATCAGCTGCGGATTACACAAGCATTTTTATTCCATATAGT